TTCCTCATATAGCGCATAACTGGAGGCATTCTTTTGGGTTGACCTTCCACCAACGGGGCGTATGCGCAACTTCCGCTAGAAATATTACATAAATGAGAAAACCATAAAGGCATCCACATCCATGTCCATAATGGAAAAATAAGCAATTAAATTACGTTGGCTAGCACCTTTATTTATATGCTGCATCGCCCCGGGGCAGCTGCGAAAACAGCAACGGTGTTAAGTATATAATTTGCATTAAATTGAAATTATGTGCGTCAAAACTGAATTTGCATTATTTAGCGAATGCATTTTATTTCTGCATTGTTATGCACCCCTGCTGAGCTAGATGCTATGACAAAATGCCCTCCGCTGCAATCGCTAAATTGTTAATTACACGGATGGAATCTACGCCGGCAAATTGCATGGGAATTTTCCGATTGCATTCGCATCCGCACGCACAGCTCAATGCGATAAATTTAAATAAATACGTAAAACAACGCAATAGCGGCATCTAACCGTTTAGGTTGTCAATAGAGCAACACCACTGGAAACTGGAAATAAAATCAGGGTTTACGACATCAAAAAAAGCAGTAATTGGCATATGTATAGTATGCATATACGTAGATATATGGCCGATGTTTGAAGCTGCCTCCATGGCTGCGTGTCTGTGGCAATTTGCCTCTCAGCTGATTTTGTTGATTCACGCTACAATGTCATGATTTCATTTAGCCAGTAAACAAATGGCCAAACAAAGTGCTACACTGTGATTTTGTTTTCGATGCCATGCAGAACAGCAAAATATTTGCTCTCTGTCCCCAAAGATAGAAGAACAAAACTCTATTGTAATTAAGTGGGATGAACTGATTAAATTTTGAAAATGCTCGCTCACAAATAACAATAAAGCTTGCCTTAAATACGCTTAGCGTCCTTGTGTACTTCAATGTGTATTTAATTAGATAATAAATTAACTTTTATTCATGTAATGAAAAAAACGGCACTAAAGTGACAGCTATTTGCTACACGTTTTTTATATATTATGTGGCGTGTTTAAAAAAAGTCAATTTAATGAATTATAGGCATTGTTTTTTTTATCATAGTACTTTAACCTATTAAGAGAGGCCCAATTATGCAAAAATATTGGTTAAAGCACTTTGAAGGATTACAGAATTTTAAGTCAAAATTGAAACGGCCAATATGGGGTCGGAATCAAAGCTTAAAAGTGAGCCTTTCAGCAATTTTGATTTGTTTGCTCATGTGCTGAGTTTTCGAGGTGTTTTCGTTTTTCGGATTACTGGTGGTGGCCCATCATCAACTACAAATACAGTTCATGTAATTTATTTGGACTTGGCCCAGAAGTTTGCGTGAAATTAATGTCTGTCCTTGAATTTTTCATAAAGTGCCAATTCAACAAAAAGTTTGCTCACATACATGCCAGGACACGCGCGGAAATGTCTGATACAGGCACATATAGAAAAACAAGGAAACGTCGAAACTTGACGGAAAAGTTCTCCCGCCAAGAGTGGGCAGTGAATTCATTTAAAAAGCATCTTAATCAGCAATAAATTCACATCTAATCAGTGCTCCTATTGTTTGGTATTCTATTCTCTCTCAACTTAAAGTTCCAGATCAAATAATATATTAATAACTCTTCGCATAAGCGAAAGCCGCTCGCCAAAATACATCATAATGACAAGTTGCAAGAGGCGAGGTGAATAACAAGTATTTAATTTGAGTCCAAAAGGCAACACTTGTATGTATTAAATCTTTGCAAATTTAGACCCACTGCGACCATATCTTTCCCAATTTTTATGGAGGTGCAGTTTGGCCCACAACGAAGGCCATATCTTTGCCAATTTTGATCCGATTCTTGCCCGGAATACCTTAACCGATTTGTAAATCAATTCTTCATTAATCTGCATCAAAATCTAAACACAATATATTTTTTAAATTTTTTGTCAAATTTTGTGGGGGATCCCCTTAAAAATTATGAAAAATGCATGGAGGTGCAGTTTGGCCTACAACGAAGACCATATCTTTGCCAATTTTCATCCGATTCTCGCCCGGAATACCTTAAACGATTTGTAAACCAATTCTTTATTAATCTGCATCAAAATCTAAACACAATATATTTTTTAAATTTTTTGTCAAATTTTGTGGGGGATCCCCTTAGAAATTATGAAAAATGTATGGAGGTGCACTTTGGCCCACAACGAAGGCCATATCTTTGCCAATTTTCATCCGATTCTTGCCCGGAATATCTTAAACGATTATTTAATCAATTCTTCATTAATCTGCATGAAAATCTAAACACAAAATATTTTTAAAATTTTTTGTCAAATTTTGTGGGGGACCCCCTAAAAAATTATAAAAAATGTATGGAGGTGCAGTTTGGCCCACAACGAAGGCCATATCTTTACCAATTTTGATCCGATTCTTGCCCGGAATACCTTAAACGATTTGTAAATCAATTCTTCATTAATCTGCATCAAAATCTAAATACAAAATATTTTTTAAATTTTTTGTCAAATTTTGTGGGGGATCCCCTTAAAAATTATGAAAAATGCATGGAGGTGCAGTTTGGCCCACAACGAAGGCCATATCTTTGCCAATTTTCATCCGATTCTTGCCCGGAATACCTTAAACGATTTGTAAACCAATTTTTTATTAATCTGCATCAAAATCTAAACTCAAAATATTTTTTAAATTGTTTGCATGGAAAATGCATAGAAGTACCATTTGAGTCCCATCAAAGGCGTTTAATTTTATAGAGGAATTTTTCAAAATTCAATCTAATTAGTTTTCATCCAAGTTTATGCTATTTGGGACACATTTTTAGGGGTTGGCAATTTTCGAACATCTTTGTCCCTAATTTTATTTTGTTTGTGATAAACTGTTTCGAATTGCTGTTAAAGTTTTCCAATCCTTTTCACTTGACCGCAATTCAATTTGTACTTGTTTTCTAGTCGCCATACCACATAGTCTGATCTAAATATAATTATTTTACAAATTGTATTATCTGCGGCCATAATTGTGTTTGAACCAAAATTAAGTTGCAAATATTTGGAATTTCTTTGAAGCGCAAAGTCGAGATGGTCCGGTGTCTGGGCACTCAGCGCATTGAACTTGCCATACTTTTAATTATGCTGCAAGACAGCCAACGCTGGCCACATGGACACGGACATTGTTTGCGCTGTGCTTGGCTCTTGGCTTAATAAATTGCAATTGTTTGCAAACTAAACTTTGTTCGCCCTCAGCTTTCAGGGGCGCCCCGTTCTGGTGGCCCAGTTCTGTGTGCGGGTTTGTAATTGGTTCGGTCTGCATTTGACAAAAGGAATGAAATAAAAGAGTCCGAAGAGTTGAAAAAACTGGAATCGGGCGCAAGAAAGTTTAGCATTATGGCCAGCGATGGTCGGCAAACAAAGTTTTCGCAAACATTCAGTCGCAGGGAATCTACGCTCTTGTTTTTCGTGTGCGGTTAACGAAGCAAATAGAAAAATGACCACAGAAAAATGTTGCAAGTGCTGTCGGGCGGCCCAAACTGAAGTCAAATATTTGCAGAAACTTCCATAAAGCCAAATAGCCAGACGGCCAAAAGTTAAAACAAACTGTATTTGATTTTAGCATTTAATAAGGGATTGTTGCACCCAAAACAAGAGTCGAGAAAAGTTGATTAAAATGCCAGAAAATAGTCCAGCAGTGCTGGAGAAACTATTTGAATATTCCCACAGATGGGCGTTGTTTGTTGGAAAATTGTCTAAATTATAGGAAAATAACGATATGTTGGTCACTGATATGCAATAGACACGCTGTCAGACAAAGCAAACAAACAAACTGGTGAGCAACAATGCACAACCATGAATAAAGCCGGGCCAGGCGAAAGGTCTCCTCAAAAACAGAAAATCCAAACCCGAAGCAGGATGCAGTACTGAACGAAAGAGCCAGGAGCACATGTTATTGTTTGCATTTATTTTCCCACACCCCTGCATACTTTTACTGCACTAAAAGAATGCTCCGAAATGATGAACTATCAAATTTAGTTCTAAACTGGTTAGAATAAAGTGGAACCTCAAAGTGAACTTGGAACATAATTTGAATTGAAAGGGAATGACTTCTTTCAGTGTACTTTTGTACTTCAATTCACTTCATGACTTCTTTCAATGTACTTCACTTGACCAGCAAAAATATTTGGATAGAAGACCAAAAAGCAAAGCCAAAAAATCTAAAACGAAAGAAAGCCAAACAAATGCTGACTCGGCAACCGCAAGTAATAGGCCATGGCTAAAAGGGAGTCGAGGTAACAAATAATAACTGAGCACTTCCGGACTCCGTTCAGTACTTCCTTTTTTTTCATCCTGAGCGACTGAGCGACTGGACATGGAATTGTTTAAATTATTTACACAAGCTGGAAAATTAAAATGGACAGCTGCTGTTTGGGGGCAGCAGCGGCAGTCATTGTTATGACTGTTGCAACTGCTTGGGTCAAGTGTTGTGTGTTGTGGCACGTACATGACTCGGGATGGTCTGGAGCGGACTGGAGTGGACCAGTGAAGTTCATAACTTTTCATTCTCCTTTCGACCGCCCTCCTTCGACCAATTCTATTCCGTTTCCATGGGGCTTATCCTTTGTGGCAGGCGAGTTTTAATTATTAGCATGCAGCAGAAAGGTCTCGGCCCGAGTCTGAGTTTTATGAGTTTGATTGTTCCTTGCCCCGTCAACATTGAGTATGCGTAAAGCGTGCGTCTGTATCTAATTGAAAAAATCAAGCATACGCACTGTGGTCCTATTGTTTTTGACGAAACACAAGTTGCCTATCCGAAGGCCATAACGCCCAGCTGCTGCTACAAACATCAGACCTTTCAGGCCCGACAAAGAAAAGTGATGATTACAATGATATGAATGGTACATGGAAAAAAATTCTTCTTCATCCCAGAGACATTAGGGCAGACTTCTGTTTTATTTCCAACAAGCAAATTTTTTTTTACACTTTTTATTTTAACAAAAACATTAATTTGGCTGTCAACATTTTAAATCAGATATTAAAGTAGTCGTGAAATTCATGTGGCTTATGAGGAAATGCCTCCTGATAGACTTGCTCAATAACGTGGTATTTTGCGCAAAGACCGCCTCCTGGTGGTAAGTTGGGAATATTGGAAGCCTTTCTTTTCATGGTGCGGACCAAAATTTCGTAGTCAAAGATTTTATACTTGACCATGACTTCCCGAACCATTTGAGCAATATTATTATCCAGCTTCTTGTCAGCAGCCACCGCATCGTCGTCGATTTTTGGTGCTCCGGGCAAAATCACTATCATGAGGGTCATGTTGTCGCGACTTCCCTTGTTTAGGCAAATTTCTAAAACCGAGTTCACAATTTCTGGTAGGTCCCAAGTTATACAAAGCTTGTAATGGATAAAGGCGCAGACTTCGTCACTTGTCATCACATCCCAAATGCCGTCGCAGGCGAGAATAATGAACTCGTCGCTGGCTGAGCGCTGCTGTACCGTGACATCTGGTTCTGGTGTCACCATTTGCTGACAGCTTCCGCGGGTGAGGTCGCCCTTGAAATAAAAGTCTCCTATAGCCCGAGAAACGGCCAGGGAGCCGTTAACCCGCTTTACCATCACGCTGCCCCCTGCCTTTTGAATACGATCCTTTTCAATAGCGGAAGTAGGCTTGTGATCCACGGTGCAAAAAGCTGCTTTTCCCTCCCGGCACAACACAGCACGGGAGTCGCCGCAGTTTGCAAAATAAATTTGTTTTGGAGAGACGAAGCAGCATATTGCCGTGGAACCTCCTGTCTTTTCAACGCCCTTCCTTATCTGCTCATCCAAATGCAGGAAGCCCGTCCATATCCCCATTTTAAATTGCATTTGTGAAAATTCATCGGTTTTGACGATAGTATGCAACATGTTTTCTGCACAATGGAGTGCTACATCTTTTCCTCCATGTCCGTCGAAGACCCCGAAGTAGGACCAATTTGGAAAGGCCTTATGTATCCCAAAAGTCGCAGCGTGTGTGTCCTCCATTTCACATCTCCACCCTTGCATGGAGCTAACACAATACCTAAGACCATTTCCTTCGCCAACTTCGACGTCCTTATCGGTCTGTGGTCTACTCAAAAAGCCACCCATCTGAATTTCTTAGCCCGCACTATAAATTTCTTAGTTGGTTCTTTGTTGGTTCACGATTGTGTCTTCGATAGACGTATCAGAATTACACAACCTTAAAAATGTATAAAAGTTCTAGTAACTAATTTTTGACACAAAATCTAAAGCTAAATTTTCTGTTATTATTAGAACTGGCCGAAGCTAAGTATATCTAAAAGTGACAGAAAGGCATACATGTTTTTGTCAGTGTTAGAAATATTTCGAGCTAAGCATCACTTGTTCCTCTCTGCAAATTATCACCCACCTCTTTTTCTGGCGACTGGGAATTATTCCACTCGCCCATTTCAAGGATCTAAGGCTCTGTTAATCGATGACAATTCAATTAGCATCGAGTCCATAAGCCCACAAAAGATCCTTATTCACTAAAGTCAAAATAGGGGGATGTAAGCTCCATCCACCAAAAAAATTCGGCTATCCTTGGCGGACTAAACAGAACCGAACTATTTGGCAGCTGGGTGGGCTTGGTGTGAGAATTCAATGGCCATAAGAAAAGTTTACCGTTTAATTGGACAGGCAAATAGGCAGCAGGCATGAGGCTGCAGGCAGTAGGAGGCTGGAGCAAAACTCGTTGAGAGTCTAAATGTCAGTTAGTTTCCCGGCTTCTCCGAGTCGCATTCTGCCGAACAATGAGCTAAATTTTCCATGGAAAACTACTAAGTAAGCTTGTTAATTAAATACGCATTACCGCCCCTGTAATTGCCTGTGACGCACTGCTTAGCAACAACTACAACTACTAATGAAATCCAAGGGGCCAAAAGGTGAGGGTAGAGGTAAAACATGGGTGAGATTTTCTGGGGGGAGGACAAGAACTAATTGTTCAAGTCAAGTGCAAAGTTTTGCACACCCTTCCCGCCCAGGCAGTCCTGGCTTATCCTCGTTTAGTTCTCCCGCTGCAGTCATCACTACATCGAGGCGAGAGTAAACAACAAACAAAAAATAATATGATATGGAAGGGAGCCTTAAAAGAAACTTATGCGATCTATTGATTTTCTGTAACAAAATTAAGAACTTTTTTCCTTTTAAATAATACATCATGAAGCAAAAATTAAATGTTGGTAGGGAATCTGCCACTCATGAAGTTATCGGATCACTTAATCATGGGCAGAATATAAAACAAACAATTTATTAAATTACCTTATGACACATTCAACTGGGAGACATATAATAAAATGGTCAGAAAAAAACAGCAAAAAATCAACTACCGACTACTGACTTGATGATGATAGCAATGCAAGCGACGTGCAATTAATTAGCGCATAATTCATTTCCGCCGAAATGCATTCCCCGACCTATTTGCCAACACAAATCATCAATCACAGCCCTCTAGAAATGAGTTGCGGAATCCAATGGAGGCAGACTAAATGCGGGTAGAGCAGAGCAAAAAAAAAAAAGGTTAATGGGCTGAAATATCAACATCAGCCCGGGTCGTCAACGTCGACGTCTGCATCGGTGCTTATTGTTTGCATTGTTTTCCTGTTTTCCGGCGAGCACAGCCCGGAGGTGGACAAAAACCAGGGCTTGCGGCTTACGGCTTCCACCGGCTCTAAAATATGCGCACACCGCAGGTAAACGTTGGTAATTTGTGACTTGGAATGTTTTTCAGCGTCTACTTTAGCGGGTACCGCAAAGTTTTACGGCTCCTGCCATTTCTAACACGACACTCGCCCATTTAACGCTTTATGGCATTGGATTTATGCTATGCGATATGCAAAATGCAATTACATGCAAATGCCGCTTAAAGTAGAGGAATTTACCGCAGGAAACTCAAATAAAAATAGCAAGAAATCCTTATTCAATTCTCAGGCAATTCGAAGGAAATTCTTATTACTAAGGGATACAGGTTCACGTCTTTAAAATCATTTTATCGCAATATTAGATGCTTTCCATTAATATCCGTTTTTTTAACTTTAAGCTCTCAACTCTCTTAATTGTGTAAAAATCGTGTTTAAATGTTAAACCCAATTAAAGTTAACAAATTATTCACTTTGCGTAAGTTTTATCTGAGGGTTACAGTTTCATAGAGAGTTTAATCATATCTGGCCCCATTGTCCTACCTGATGCTGCACTCCGGGCCGCTTCACCACCTCCTCTACCACCTCTGGACAACTCTGGTGTCCTTAAGCTGGACAGAGCAGGGCTGTGCTTTTATTTACCCCTTTGGCTTTTGCTTTGGCTTATACAAGTGCAGCTCATCTCCCTGGCGCGGAAACACACACGAATACCAAGTGCAGTCGCTTCGAACTGCATGTTATTCATGGCTAAACACACACACACACACACGTCCACCTTAACCGACCTCTAACCGCGAACCCGCCCGCTCTGGCCACATCACAGATACACCCACCCCACACCCCTTTAGCTAGAAACTGGCAACTGCCAGACCAACAATTTTCTAAACTCGCGCGTTGCGCACGTTATAAAAAAGGCAGCTCAGGGGAGGTCCTTATTGCACTAAAACACTAAGATAGTTTTTAAGTGAATTGTCCTTAATATGACACTTCTTTAGCTATCATTCTATTTTAACTAAGCCCGGTTAATTACAATTTTAGAAGAAATCTAAAGACATTTTAAGAATTAAATAAACTTAATAAATAGATACAATTTAGAAATAAAATAAATTTTTGCAGTGCCATAGATAGTTGGTTGGAAAGTGGGGCGTTGGGTGGTGGGTTGACTGGCGCGCTAAGCTGTGCTAAACATTCCCTAAATATATTTTGCAACAGCTCCTCCACACATGAGATAAGCGGTGCACATACCACACCAACCTGAACCCGAACATGAAGATACTGCGGGTTGAAAAACAGGTGGAAAAGTGGAAAGGGACTGAGCGGAGGCTGCAATAGCAGGGGCAAAGGTGAAAAGGTGGAACGCCGGGGCTGCCACTGAAGGGGAGAGCTCAGAACACAGAGCGCACAGAGCAATGAAACTTTTTGCGCCAGAATATTTTTGCAAAACTATTCACAGTTGATTTTTCACCTGATGCTTTTCAGCCTTGTGCCTTTGCAAGTGTCCCTGTCGTTGTGTGAGTGCAGTAGTAGTGGTGCGTCGGTGTGAGTGCTTAAAATATTTGTACGCCATCCACACACACCCACACAGCCTCCTCGTCCTTAAAATATCCGCCTCTGACCAGCAGAGCCTGGCCTTCTTGGGCGCCCAACTTAAATACAGCCATCAGCCACAGAGGCTGAATTTTTCCTATAGGTAGGCTTACTCCCCTTGCCCTCAAGGACTTCCTCCACAGTCAGTAGTTAGGGCTAAAGCTCCACTGCATTTAAATATTCACACTAAAGTCTTTAAAGTTCAGAAATATCTTTTATGGTCTAATGGCTGTTAATAGATTTGAAACAACAGTGGCCAAGTGACCTTAGAATAAATAAATAAAACTAACCACTCCGTATAAAAATAACTTTTATTAGATCTTTGAGCTTTAATCCTTATACACGCACATGCTTGAGCACGAATATATTTATATACCCTATTATGAGAATGACTTTATACTCAACTACCCGTGTTCAATTGCAGATATGGTCTCCTGGGCGCCTCTGGATGTGGAAAAACAACGCTTCTCAGCTGCATCGTTGGTCGACGTCGCCTCAATTCGGGCGAGATTTGGGTGCTCGGCGGACGACCTGGATCGCGTGGTTCCGGTGTGCCGGGACCCCGGATTGGTTATATGCCACAGGTGAGTTAACCCGGGCCGCACTGCACCTGCTTGGATGCCTGGCTGCCAGTCTGCCTTGCTGCCTGGCTGACTGGTGCTCTTCACCCAGCAGCTCCTGAATTTTTCATGCTCTTTTTATTGCCCCATGCCTGAGTCGACTAAATTAAATAAACGCAATAAAATGGGGAAAGCACAAAAGAAAACATATACCGTGAAAAGTTTTAAATGCTCGATACACAGAACGCAAAAGTGTCTGAAGAAGATTAAAAAGGAAGGAAAGGATAAAAAAAATAAATGGGAACTAACTTGGAATATAATTTGGAGTTTTTAAAACCTATAAAAATATTTGAAAACTGCAATTTGTTTTATGTTTTACCACTTAAAAATTATAAAGATTCTGCTCCGCAAAGTAGGCATTATTTGTGGGCTTTGGGAAATCTATTGTTGCACTCCTGAAATAATATCCGTGCTACAATTTCGGCTTATTGCAGGAGATAGCCCTTTACGGCGAATTCACAATGCGTGAAACTTTAATCTACTTCGGCATCATTTCGGCCATGGCCCGCAGTGACATCGAGGATCGCACCGAATTCCTGCTCAAATTGCTCAATTTGCCAAATGGCTCGAAATTTGTCAAGAATCTGAGCGGAGGCCAGCAGCGTCGGATGAGTTTGGCAGTGGCCCTGCTACATGAGCCGGAGCTGCTTATTTTGGATGAGCCGACAGTGGGAGTGGATCCAGTTTTGCGACAGAGGTGAGTTTCTACACGAAAATAAACACATTTTAGCCTTACATATGCCTAGAGGTGATGTTGATTAAAGCACATAATTGTGTAGCACAAAAATAATAAAAATAATAAAATATGTAAGATAATAGCTAAAATATATTCCTTTTCATTAGAAATAGTTTTCTCTGTACCCTTGGCTATCATTTGATAGCATCCCCTTGATATATCATCTGATTAACTCTTCATCTTTTTGATTACAGCATCTGGGATCATTTGGTGGACATTGCCAAAAATGGCCACACGACTGTGATAATCACAACACATTACATCGACGAATGTGCCCAGGCACATATGGTAAGTAGTAACATCCTGGCTTGGAGGGGATGGAAACGGGTTCCTGGGTCCAAGGGAGTTCTGCAACCAAGTGTCAATGGCTTTTGGCGCCCACGCATTGTTTGCCAGGGTGATTTATGGCTAGCTGGCACATCTATGTGTAATATGGGGCGTATGAGCAATATAATGCTGCCACTGTCAAGGTGAAAGTTCAGCTATCAGCTCCGCCGAGGGCTGTCAACATGCGGCGCTAAGTGCTTCCGCTTTCCCCGCTCGTTGGACTTGACAAATTTGTATCCTGCGCTCGGGCGGACGGGTCGGACGGAACGGGGAGGCTGCAACAAATCCGTGTCCTGTCAAAAAAGAAAAAGCCAAAAAATAAAAAAAAAAAATGAATGGTGCAAAGAGAAAAGACCAGGACTTGAATATTACTGGTGGCTGTCTCTGTTGACCCATGGCCATTTCAGGATTTACGAGGCATTTCCGAGCGAGACACATTGCAAAATTTACTTCAGATTTATTTATGCCACGGACGGAACAGATGGGAACCGTCCTTTGATCGGGGTAGGGAAATATAACTGCGTTAGTCATTTAATGCGTGCTGCAAACAATGAACTCGGTGGAGGAAACAACAGATATGTGTGTGAAAAAGAAAAATACAGGAATAAATCGTGACAAAGCTCGCAAACAAACGCCCATCACAATGGACATTTGGATAGACAGATAGATACACGGCCGGAGCGACAGGCTGAGATACAGACACTTGGCAACACGCACAGGATATGCACACATAAAACAAACAAAATCCTTACCCAGGGACACACGCAAGCTCAAGTGAAGTGTGAGATGGTTGAATATATCAATGACAACGTTCTGGAAAAGATTGATGTGAAAAGAGGAGAAGAAAGTGCAAGATGAGCCGCAGATCGGCACTTGAGACACTCTACACATCAACTTGAAAGAGTGTTCGCCTACCGTTTAATTTGATTGATTGGATGCCAGAAATTAATCAACAGTATGATTGGTTAAGCGGAATTTTTTCCTATTAAATTTTTTGGCGAATTTAATGTATGGTATGCCACTTATTATTATTAAAATTCAATGCATAGGTTTCTACCAAATTTCAGGACACTCATACTAAACAAAATATTATTGATTAGATTTGAAACCAAAATGGAAATATCTCACATTGAAGATGCCACAAAGTGTGATTGATTGGGTGCCAAAAATTATTTTCTCAGCAAAAATCCATAATCCATACTTTACTGTTTAAATTGAAAATTAATTTATGGCCACTTTAAATGCTCCTTATCCATCCATAATTCATACGAAATCCTTTTGGGTCTGATTCCCACAATACTGAAACAATCAGCCAGGTCGAGCCTGGAGCCCTCCAACCCCACTTGACCCCCTAAGGACCTGAAGCGGGGTCTAAAGGGCTCACATGCTGTGCGGCTGCCAATTGACAACACGTTTCGTACCACCACTCCTTTGGAAATCCTGCACCCCCTCGGACCATGCCCCAAAGGGATTCCGTTGTCACGCCGCCACGCGGCCAAAAGTCATTGCGGTAAAGAGTTATGGCCAATAAACAAAATCACTGCCAGGAATAGAAAACTCGCCTTTGTTTGCGGGCAATCGACATTCAGCACTTGGCACTTGGGAATGAAAACGGGATTGGGTGTCACAGGATTCTGTCTGACAAACAAAACAATCGACTGGCTCTCAGTCCATAAAACCAGGCACGAGGATCGAACCCATGCCAGGAGAATCAAATAGAATCCTGGCTCACTTAATCCGAGCGTCAAGCGTTGAAATGTGAATTTAATGCGAATTGTTAGATAAAATTTATGGTTTATGGGTTTCACTCGAGCCGGGACTATAAAAAGCTAACTTGCGGAAGAAGTTGCCCCTCTTGGTAAATATCCTTGCCCTTCAGCGCCCGTATCCTCGCATGCAAAGCCCTAGGGAGTCCCTGATTGTGGAGCTGTTGTGTGTCTTTAACTTCTGGTGACAGTGTTTAATTGCTCATATGGAACACGTGTTGGCCGGCCAGCGAGGCTAGAGCAGCAGCTAGTCTAAGCTTAGTCAATCCACGCCTCTTATGGACAAGAGTACACACAGAAAAATATTTAAAGTATGAAATACTTTCCACTGCCATCTTACACTAAAGCTGCGTAATTAATTAATGTGTGTCATGTAATTTTAAATTAATTTAATTATCATTTACGAAAAATTATAACTTTTTTTTTCACTGTTAAAGTACTATGCCCGGCAGCAAATTGCTTTTTCAGCTTTGTCACTTTTCCGTGGCATGCTTTCGAGTCAGTCAGCTCAAGTCGAATCCTGGTCAGGGACAAGGATGGACACAGGATAAAGCTTCAGATCGGACCAAGGTAGTTATCTGTACATATTTTTGGGCAATTCCGCACGTCACGAGAAGCTCGCAAGATTTTTTTTCCCCCAAAAGCCAAAATACAGAGACTTTTGGGAAGTCCTCGGGCTTGTGTTTTGGCCACGCTTGTTTCCTTTTTTTTCGATGTGCTGAGTCAACGAAATGGCATGTCGCAGTGGGATTCTGCTGGCCAATCGTCGACAAGGCAGAGCCCCTCTCGACACAGACAGACACATAAATTTTACTGCACTCGCAGCCTGATTGAGTGAGCCACTCCAATTGGCACCTACATGCAACTTGATCTATTCTCCGGCTCTTCTACAACCCGGGCATTAAAAATTATTATTGCACTCTGGCAATTTATAAGCTGAAAATTCATGTGGCAATAAAAATTATACGTAGCATGGAGGCAAAAACTGCCATTAGTTTTTCTGCTTCTGCTGGTGCTTTTGCTCCTGATTCGGATGGGAATGCACTCAAACAAAAGCAGGAGCATTAAACATAATCGTAAAATGCGCATTTACGACTGCCATCGAGTGTGTGTGTGAGAATATGTCTACTGATTCCTGGCAGAGAGTTGTTGAAACTTTGCCGTGCTTAAATTCGGTTATTGTTATTTGTATGGTGCGGCGATTAAAAGTTTTATTTTAATTGAAAAATATTTATGGACTATTTAAAATTTGTGAAGCTTTTGCCGTGTCTGGCAAAAGCACCTTGTCGTCTTGCCAATAACTTGTGAGATTATTACAATTCAATGTGTGAAAAAGAAAGGCTTAAAAGTATATTTATTTTCTTAAATATGTAAAGTATTTGAAAATATTCTGGGATAAATTCAGTGATTTACTCAGTTGTGTGAAAAAAGGCTTTTAAATATTTATAAAATAAATATTACAGAACTTTAAAACTTCCGTAAAATTTGTATGGCAACATTTTGGCTCTTTAAAAATTAAATCCGCCCAAGCAGTGCGACCCACATCACATTTGGCATCGCACTATGACAGGATCAGCGCCTGCACTGGTGTCAGTATTAGAGCAGGACCGCCAGCATCCTGTGCGAGGTCAACCAACTTGGGCTACACAACAGAATCTCAAATGGCTTCCCGTCTCGCTCCTAACAGAGTGCAGCGCTTCACTTTTTTTTGACAGACATTGCTCCCCAAATTTAATGTCAGCGTTGCCTTTGCCTTTGCCTTGGCTCAGGGGAAATTGTTGGTTCACACACAAAATGACAAGAAAAAAGGAAAGTTGTTGAAACAAAAAGAAAAAAACCAGGACAAAAAATGTAAGGAGACAGGGCAGGGATAACACAAAAAAAAACCAAATCGCGTCTATTCCACATGGCCAAAATGTGAAGACAGCGGGGGCGTGACGCGAGGGGACTGTCTCTCAATGTCCCCAGTTGAACATGCAGCACTTTCTGCTCTAATAAATGAAATCAGGGAGCGTAACATTATGTGATGGATATATTGTTACGAGTCCTGTACTTTGCCATTTACTCCATTCCCCTTCGGGGGCGCCTTTAATAGTTAATATTGTTTCGGTTGCATTTCCTTTTACATTGCTTATTTGTTCCTGGTTTTGTTCCTTGCTTTTTGTCGCGTAATTTTCCGCATGTTGCACTTGAGTAGCACAAGCCAAAAAACGAAAATCCGAACAGCATGCAAAACGAACACTTTAATAATTGGTATAGCTGATAGGTGACAACACGATTAACATGCGAATTAAGCTTTCAACAGAAAACCCATTAAACACGGATATAGTACTTAATGAAAAGGCGATGGGGGAACATATAGCTTTTTTAGAATTCTTAAATTCCCATATTATGCAAAATTATTTGAGCGCTCACTTGACTAGCTGGCACTATATATTCCAGAATAAATTTCGGCATAACCTCCGCCGTCGTTCATGGAAAATTCCACCCACAAGCCACGCCATAAATATCATGTGCATTTTTCAATTTTTCAATTTCCCCTGCGTGTCGGGTAGGAGGCAAGCTGAAAATTATTTATGGCATGCAAAATTGCTGGCCATAATAATGCATATCACATAGTTGGCCAATAAAATTACAATTGCCTGGCTGGCCAGGAAGCCCGTAATTTAGTTTGCTATTGCAATCCAATTAAGACGTTAATTGGCCCTGAGAAGTCGAAAGACAGAGCCTTAACTTGACCATATAGAGGGAGCGAATTAGCCAAACACAACAGCTCCAGGCTTTGTTTCGGCCCGAGGAAATGGACGATTTCCTTGCTGGCCCAAAATCAGGAACGAAGCCAAATCAAGCAGCAAAAGTTTGCTAACTAGCTAGCCGGGCTTGTGTGGTTTATTTAGCATAGAGTTTTCCTGTGCAGTCAAGGAAAGGATGTGTGAAAGGGCTGCAGGATCCCACTCATGTGCATGTCTAATGAAGCCATCCATTTCGTTCGGATTGACGAACAAGCCTCGCCAAAGTGGCAGTTCCAAGGCAAAGCGGCGGCAAACTTTCGCACCCAAAAGACACACACAGAGCCCGCCAAAGGACTAAAGGGATGATGATATGATGATGCCTGGTCATGTACGAACACAGAAATCAATTAACTTAATTTCCGCACGTTGCGTGAACAAGAGATTTGGTCAAGGCAACGGCGAAGTCAATAAAACTTCATCGACTTTGGCAACAACAGGATGTGCATAAAGAGCGCAAACTTTGACAAAGATTCGGCGACATGGTCGAGGATAAGGACAAGTGACCACTCGCATCAAAGTCGAAAAGTTTGATTGGCTCAGCGACACTTTCCGAAAGAACACTTCGATTCAATTATCTTTCGGACAAACAGGGGTGACCGAAATCCAAGAATCTATATCAGGGCAGGACATTTTTTGAGTTACAATTCAAGACAATTGACTTCGACATTTATAAAATATTAAATTTACAATTTATATTCTTTTCAGATTGGTTTGTTGCGCGGAGGCAAAATGTTGGCTGAAGAATCGCCCGATTATCTGCGACAGCAATATAATGCCGAGTCTCTAGAAGATGTTTTCCTAAAGCTCTCCGTGATGCAAAATATGGGTAAGCGACGTCGATCCTCGATCGCCCAGGAGATCGTCGAACAGGTGACAGTCCCGGCTATTTCCAATCCTGCTCTGGACATGTCAGATGAGCAGCATGCCGCCGAGATTTCCGGCGAGTTCGGTGACAACATATCGATGTCCTCGGCAGCCCGTGATCCGATCAGCAGTACTGCGGTTGCAGCTCCTCCTCTGCCCCCGGTCCAGGAGACACCCACATCCTTTTGGTACAATCTTCATGTGATGCAGTCGCACCATCTGCACGCCCTTATTTGGAAGAACTTCTTGTGGATGATGCGCAACGTTGGGTAAGTGATTCCTAAAAAAAAACACTATAATCCCATTAAAATTGATGAATCTCAAAAACTAACCTCTGCATAAGTTAAAGGCGATTATTTCCCGATTGCCATTCAGATAAATAAGCTGCTTATTTTGCTCTCGTACTAAGCTTCTCTTGTTTGGCCGTGCAATTATTACGTACTTGTGCTTAACGAACAAATATCGATGCCTTTCCACAGGGTGATGCTGTTCATTGTGGGCCTGCCCGTGGTCCAGATTCTGTTGTTCTGCTACGCAATTGGCCATGATCCGACTGGCATCAAATTGGCTGTGGCGAATCACGAGATGAGCGAGGAAATGATTATGCAACAATTCTGCCCAGTCCACACCGGATGCAATCAGACGATGCTGAGCTGCCGTTATATCGATATGCTGGTCAAGAACAAGAGCATGGTTGTGGTAAGTGCAATGCAAATTACCTACTCGAGTACCCACCCCTCCCTACCTGCCCTTATCATCCTCTAGGGACGAGGTCGAACTGTTGCAGTAGCAGTTGCAACTCTCAGCCCGGGGGTGCAATATCAGCTGTCATTGGCTTTTTGGTTAAATTGTGCAGTGCGAACTTTACAATAACCACTCATGTTGCTTATTCAGGTCCGATCTCAGTACACCGGTCCAGTTAGTCCTGCATGTCCTGCAGCTCCTGTCAGCCACTACTGTAATTTATTTCAATTTGTGTGGACAGCCGAGTGGCTCCCTCTGTTGGTCGCCAGCCGAAGCTGCTGCTGCTGCTGGTCCTGCTACTGCCACTCCTTCTGGGGGAGCTGCCGGGGGTGCTTTCAATCTACAAAGCACACATCATTTTACCCCGCCGCACTCCTAAATCACCACCTCCAACCTACTTGGCTTTGTCTTGGTCCATTTTCCCTAATAGTGATGACCAATATGACCTTTTTGTAGACTAAACTAAGAGGACTTAGTCAATTAATTATTTGGAAAAAATGTAGAATGATATATTTATTCATACTAACTAGAAAAAAAATACTGTAATAAGATTGAAATATTTTTCTTTTTAAGTTTAATATCCGCCATCACTGCTTCTTCGGTCTCCACCCAGAAGTCCTGCTCCTTCGATGGAATATGGACACTGCGTTAGTGGTGCCGTTGCCATTGCCATTGCCGTTGCCCTTGGTGTTGGCGAACACAAATTACAGCTGCTTATCTTTGGCACGGCCAGTCGGTCGAGATCATCAATAAATTTACTGGCCTGCCATGGGATGCGATGGCCAAAAACACTATTGGAGTGGCCGGAGTGGGGCACAAAAACAGCTGAAGGCAGGGCCAAAAGCCGCTTGTGGCAATTTATTGCAAATTACGCTTCAAAAGCAAAGTCGCCTTTGTTGCCTAATTTGAGTTTCGTTTTGGTTCGGGGGCTCGAGTCCTGGCTTATGATTCCATGCATTTTACATTGGTCTCTGTAATAACAGTAAACCAAGCCAGAAGTCCGGGAATTTTTACGATTAGTTTGTACAGCATTAAGCGGAAACTTCATGCAAAATTGAAACTTATTATCAGGTCGGAGGTAAAGCCTGGCATTCAGGGAAATACCGCTCAAGCGTTTCTGCGAATCCGCTCCAGTAATCAATTGTGTGTGGGTTTCGGGGAAAGACAATAATAAAAAAGAATCAGCATTGAGATCTCAATGTCCAATAAAATTATCTCGCCGACGGACCGTGACCTCCTAAACTTGCCTTAATTTTCAAATAACAATATAATAAAGACCGCCGCCCGGCAACATCAGTAATAGGGCCAGCAACCGTCCGCATGCCTCAACTGGCAATTTGTGAAGAAAACTTTTTACCTTTGGAAATTGAAAAGCTTCTCGGGCAACCACTCCGCCACGCCACCCCAACCACCGGCTATCAGACTAAATTTGTATAACTTCGGACAATAATAAAAAAGAACGGCGAAAAAATAATACGCGACGGTGTATCTTTAGTCCGCATCAAAGGCCCCTTCCAACGAAAGGCGATGGGAGATGAGGCCGAGTTAATTTTGGTCAATGAACAGCGTATCAACGTGCCATCAGCACTTGGCCAGGTCCCTGAGACGTCGCCTCACCTTACCCAGTCCTCTTGCCAACGACGCCTTCCGGCGACCCTCGAGGGTGGGTCAAAAAAATTTGAATTTAGGACGGAGTATTGAAAGCAAGTCTTTTCGTTGTTTTCAATAACAATTCTATGTGCCATGTAGTCACAGTTTACTCAGGGTATACTTAACTTTGCGAAGGTTTTGGAAAGGTTTTTAAAAATATTTAAATATTTAGCACGTGGCTAAGAGTAACATTTATATCAAGAGCCTTTTTCAAGGGGCTTATTTAAAAAATCTATCTTTTCTATTAATTTCTTTGAAGAGTATACCCAAACTTATGCATACTTTTAAACTTTCTTGCATATATTTCTGCCTGAAAATTTGTTGGGAAAAAGTCTGGTCCTCGAATTTTTTAGGGTTTTTGCCTTGTGGTTATATGTTTCCCTTTTACTTTTTCCTTCATTCTCGTTCAGATCAAACGCATCTTGGTTACTAGTTACCCTCGTCTTAACGAAAAATTGGCCTTTGTTTTGGGGACAACACTTCGAAACGAAAGGAGACTTCAACCTCAATCTCCTGGAGGCAGCTCCCTGAATGGTTGCATTAATAATTTGCAAAAATTCCCCTCGGCTACCGGTCCGGAAGAGGACTCTTAATTTATGGGTAAATTGAAAAACATATTGTGGTCAGCCGATGTCGTTGACTGTTGTCGTTGCTTCTAATTAAAAGTTCATTAGGCATGACAACGTGGCTCATTAGGGAAAGGGCGTAGTCGAAAGATTTCATGCTTCCTGGGAGACCCCCAGTTTGGACTACGCTCCTGATGGTACTTGATTAGCGAAAAGCTTTAAGTTGAAGTTAGTGCTCGAGTTTTCCAGTGGCTTTTTTCTTTATACCTTTAGCCAGAAGAATTTTATGAGGCAAGTTAAGGCAAAGTCGAAACAAAAATTGCCAAGGTAGCTACTAGCTGGGGAAAGTTTTTCTACCAGCTCCTTTCGAGCTCATTTGCGTTGGGCTTCTGACCAAGTTGACTTCATTTGCGCATAGTTTGTGGCTCAAGTTTGTCATAAACAATGTTGAAGTTGGGGTTAATAGTAGCATAAAAGTTGTTCAAGTCCTGCAGTCTGATTGTCTGTTACCATGGCCGTGGATGAAGGGCTATTTTGCATTATAATTTATTCGAAGTCTCTAGCGTAAACCACTCACCCGAATCTCCGCTTCAGGTGTTCCGCAAAGAACCCCCACCCTAGACCCAAAATGTGGGCAACAAAGTTTCCTCTCCATCTCTACCATCAAATCTAATGAGGCAAATTAAACCACACACACAATCTAGTTCAGGTGTCTGAGCGGCAAATGGGTTCATTTGTATCGGCATTAATGTGGCAATTGCGTAAATTTCACGCCTGTTCGGCCTTATCCCCTTTCGGTTTAAATAACTGCATATCGAAGCCGCAAAATTGCTCCAGCTTAGCCCAAATACAAATGCCAATACACGCTCCCGAGTCCCGAGTTTTTGTGGCTTTGGTTGGCTTTTCCCCTCAGCTCGGATTTTGCGGTTGTTTTTCGTTTTCTGACGCTGTCTGCCTAGTCTGAGGCCTATTGGGCCAACATAAGTGACTGCCGAAAGTTTAGGCAAAGTTTTCCCCTTCGAAGGCAACTTAATAAATGTGTAAGCACTTGCAGAGAACTAGCTAAAGATCCGAGGATGCTCCACATTTCGGGGGCCGGCTTTCACTTCATTATTTATTTTGCTAGGAAATGAAATTGTTAAAGATAACACAAACATATTGTTGACAACAACAAGAACATGGCCCGCAAAAAAGTAGGCAACACGGACCGCGAAACGAAGGCAAACGCCTCTCCTTTGTTGTTGATTTGTTTGCCTCGCTGAATTTATCGCTTGGCGCAAAGTACGCACATTAATTACGGGGAGTTACTTTTATTGTTGTAGCAACCAACTACAGCACATCGTCCCACATGCAGCAAACAATGCGACAGGAAATGAAGCGGGACAAGCGCCACAAAGAGACAGTAGCAGAGCAGCACGAGCTGAGCGCCACCAGCTTACAAAGCTGCCAAGAAAGGAAGTGCCTTCGGGCCGGGATCCTGGCAGCCTGAATATCCTGGCATGCGTTGCTCAATAATTCAGCGGCTCCGATTTTAATTGCGCAACAACAACACCCGTATCGGTGGCAGCACCAAGAGTCGGAGCAGAAAAAGCAGCTACGCCTCCAAGTCCCTCGCCATCTGTCTGGCAGGTGCAATGACTTTTTAAGCTAATTGAATGAGTATTTGATTGACTGTTGCCGTTCACCGTCCCACGTTTGCTGTGTCTGCTTTTTACCAAGAATTATATTGGGACTTCCTATAATTTTGATTGATGGAATCTTTTAAAGAACAAAAGAAATATTATAAATGATAAAAGTTATGCTTTTTAAATACCATTTAATACAAATATTCCTCAATTTTTTTCAGAAATATTTAAACGATGATGAAGCCGCCTATGAGGAGGTCAGGAGAGGAAAAGCCTGGGCCGCCTTGGTGATCCAACCGAATTATACAGAATCCCTCATGGAACTTGTTGAAGAAGGACGCTATACCGAGGATGGAACCATTGAAGCCTCAAACTTTAACGTGCGGATGGACTGGTCAAGTAAGTAGTTGTTATAAAAATTAAAATTTTAAAATTAAAGTTAAAATATCTTGCAGATCAGCAAATCTCGCAGATGCTGTACCGCGATCTCCAGTACACATTCTTTAGCTTCGTGGAAAATATGCTGACGGACTGTGAAATGAACCCGAAGTTGCTTCGAGTGCCTGTGGAGTGGGAGCAGCCCATTTACGGCTACCGGAATCCCAACTTTACGGACTTTGCTGCTCCTGGTGTGATCCTGACCATTATCTTCTTCCTTTCGGTGGCCATTACGTCGGGTGCCATGCTGATCGAGCGGAACGAGGGCATGTTGGAGCGATGCCTGGTGGCGGGAATCACGGGTCCGGAAATCCTCCTCTCACAGGTGGTCACCCAGTTCACGGTCATGCTCAGTCAGACTATCTTCGTGTTGATAGTTAGTTTCTACTTCTTTGAGCTGACATTGGTTGGCGACATTTGGCTGGTGGTGGCCCTTTGTATCCTGAACGGACTGTGTGGAATGAGCTTTGGATTTGTTATTTCCTGTGCGGTAGATACGGAGCGAACGGCCACGTATGTGGCAATGGGCTCATTCCTGCCCATCGTGATGTTGTGTGGCATTATCTGGCCCATCGAGGGCATGTTTCCACTGCTGCAGTTTGCCACCGCCTTCCTGCCACTCACCAAGCCCACGGAGTCCATGCGATCGATCCTGCAACGCGGCTGGGGCATTGACAACCCGGCCGTGTACAATGGCTTCATATCAATTTCATCCTGGGTTCTGGTGTTCCTCATACTCACTATTCTGCTGCTCAAGTTCAAAAAGGGTTAGGTTCTATGCATATTGCACATTACACAGAAAATTGTGATTAAGAATTAGTGGGTATATTTCAACTCAAAGCATTTTACTTGAAACATTTACAAAAATTTTCCCATTCCAATGTCAATTGGTGGAACATGGCCATTAATTAATGTTAACAAAAACTAAATATGAAATTCGAGATGAAACAAAAATTGGACTGGAACAGGTTAAATGGAATTGAACTTTAAAATGTCTAAGAATCAACACGTAAATGAGTCAAAAATATGGATGTTTTCTGTGCACATTGCTTATGATTTTATTAGGTTTTAAGGGTAGTCTTACGCTAGATTAGCCGTGTCCTTAGTCCTTAGATTTAGCCTTCTACCACTGGCAAATTGGTTCCGGATCACCAATACTACCGAGCATGTAAACTTTTGTGCCTTGTAGTTTTAAGCCCTCCTCTTGTCATATCACCATCACGACCATGTCACATTCGCCCACAAAGACATCAGAGCATTCTATATATTTATGTTGTAAGCTTGTGAACAAAATACAAAACTTTGAATAAATTGATACATAGAAAAACTTTCCCGAGACTTACCTCAGAAATTATTGCGTAAAGCTCTGCCATGGGTAATTGAGATTTATTCACCTTGGAGCTGGGGAGCCAGAGCTCCGTGATTGCTCTGATTGCAGCAGGTTGGCAAACTGGCCAAAATTTCGAAGCAAAAGCCAACAACTTTGCCTGCATTGTCCAAGTTGGGGCCAAGAGGTCCTCTGGTCCTTTCAATCAGTCATTGGTTTTGCCAATATTTATTTACCGAGTATCTGCAATCAAAGACCTCAAAAAGAAAAGAGTCCTGAGTTTTGGTCACATCTGCCCCTGCCACGCCCTTGCCACATTATTCCAAGGTAAGCCCGGACGGAGAGCTCGGAATGTCAGAAGGACTCGTTTTCGACACATTTCACATTTTGTGGCAAAATCAATTAAACCGGAAATGCATGTAGACCACGGCTGAGTGAGTGGCACACGTGCAACGGGGGGTGGGCGTTATCCAGCTTCCGCTTAACACGAAAATTCAACATAACAAGCGGACAAAGTGGCAAGGACTCGAGTGGAAAGAGTTCTTTATGCACTTGAATAAAATGAGAACCAGTTATTAAAGAATTTGTCTGAAAAAAATGTTATACCACTTATAGTTTTAATAAAAAAGATTTTATGTTTGACGGTATCTGAAAAATAAAAATCAATATTTACCTTTAAAATTAATACACGGTTTAATTGGTACTTGATAGGTTGTTCACATGTGTATGTATATTTATGAATGTTTTATAATGTATTAATGTTTTTAAAAAGAGCAATAATATTTCATTTAAAGTGAAAGAAAATATTTTATGTATTTAAGAAGAGAAAGATATTGTCTTATCTTAAATAATTTTTTTTTTAGAGTGTGATTGACTGGCTGCCAAAAAAAATGGAAAAAAGAATCGTAACACATACACAGGGGACACCCGACTTATGCTTTTAGGTGTTACATATGCATATGTAGGTCAGCCAGCATGGGGCGTTCCTGGAACAACACTAACTGGATCCACATGTCGTCCGGCTCCGTGACTGTCGCTCTCCGTCGGATTGAATCGATGCCAGAGTCAGAGTCCAAACTCCATTTAGTCACCCAGCCGTTTGGTGGTTCACAATGTCCAGTATGTCCAGATCCTTCATCATCGCCCATGGCAAATCAGTCAGACACTGGTTTCCATTGACTGGCGCTTCCACTCCAGAATGGCACACGAGACGTGTGTATGTATTTACAATTAGATAACCGTCAGGAATCGATAACATTTCAAAGCTCCATCCAGGAGCGAGCATGGAGCCACATCATTTTCCCTTATTTTTTGTTGTTGTTCACATTCCACTTTAGATTGGATTGAGTCGAACATCAAGCAGTCTGGGATATATCTCGCCCATCATTGATTACTCGAGTGTAGCTGACGGCGGCACTCGAGCACATAAATTGGAAAATACAGAAGCCACGGGCTCCAGCCAGGATGGACCGAGGCAAAAATCTCATTTTCATTTTCATTTACCCATCTCCTTCGCGCTCTTCGCTTTCCACATAATTGAAAGTTCAAAGTTTTCGACTTGCCGCTGAATTAATTTTTCAACTTCATAATTTCACGTGCTTCGTAGAGCCTTAATAACCTTCCCGACTCGACGGCCATTTCTCCACTTTGCATTTCCAGCCACCAGCTGTCTTCAATGGCTTTCTTTGTTTGTGGCTGAAGCAATCTGAGCCTTTTCCCGCCATCAAATGAAAGCCCTCCGCCTCCATCTCAGGGCCCACGCCAGGGCCTCCTCTTCGTCTTTGCCCGCCGCCAATGGTGTGTTAATTAATTGCTCAATTAATTTAATGTTCAGTACTCGAGGGCTCCTTCGTCCGGAGCGGCCGTCTCTGGCCCAGCTCTTCGAAAAGTCAATTGTCTGTTGTTTTCAATGGTTTGCATTTTACACAAAATGTCATCTTACCAGATAAGACCCTAATCCTTTTGCTCGCCTCAATTCCCGCTTGTCGGGGTCAACGTAAGCATGTAAATTAATAGCCGCCCATTTGACAAGAGCTTTGGAATGTTTTTGTGTTGAACCTGAAACCAGAAAAAAGTCCAGGTAGCTTCAAGTAGGATGCCATCGTACACTTGAGCCTGTGAAGGACCATCCAGTTGATTCATTGCTTTCGGTTCGTCTTGCGCTTTTTTTGGATTATTGATGTCCAATAATTAATATTCCGGCAGGCTTAAGTGGAAATATTTTTAATTATTCAATCCCAATTAAAACGGAATTACTTAAGGCACTTTTATGTGCAGTGCTCATATGCACTTAGTTATTTTAATGATTGGCATTAATTATTTGCGGTGCATAATATGCATAATGTGTTTGCCGGCGGCAAACAGAGTGGAGAGGCCTTCGAGACAACCCGTCCTATATTATTTTTCCCTCGGATCGGTTCCGTTTGGTTTGCATTGTCTGGCAAATTGTGTAATGAAAATGTCAATCAATTTTCCCATGATTTGCCATTAAAGTGTATGGATATATTTGTGTGAGGCGGCGAGAGTTTTCCGGACAAGTCTACACCTTGGCGCACACACAGGACACACAAAGGCCTGTCGCACTCAATGCCAATTGCAAATTGAGTTCATCTGCTGGCGGCAAATATTGACATGACAGACACATTTTTATTTTATTTTATTTGCATTTTTATTTCACTCTCGCCCATTGGTAACGCCCCAAGCTCTGCCACTTTCATCCGCCTGTTCTGGTTTATTTTTCGCCTTTTTTCAATTTTTTCTACAGCTTCATACTGTTTGCCGTGGAAAACCCCTTAACGTTAGCTCGGCATTTGCTTGGCTTTCCTCTTTGTCGTGCCTTTTCCTCACTTTACGAGTGCGTCCTGGGCCCCTTCCTTCCAAGGTGGCAAAAATGACATATTAATTTCCAAAGGGGAAACGAAATAATATAAATGGAGTTGTCGCTTCCAGCTTAAGCGTGTAAGCCGTCTCCTCAGTGGCTCCCCAGCTACCTGCTTTGCTTTCCCCACTCGGAGAGCACATTCACATGCAAATTGCATGGCAAAATCTAAATAAATATGATCAGAGAAATCAACACTTTGGGCGTGGCTGCCTAGGCAATTGTTTGAGCATAATATTACGCATACGCCGCTTATGCCGGAAAAATTAAACCGCGATGCGTACATATTTCTGCGGTTATTTTGGCGATTTGATGAAGTCGTTGCTTCGCGCAGATAATTCTGTCAGCACGGCATGCCCCTCCATCAATCATACTTCGATTCGAACACCCATTCCCCCCCCCCGAAAAGCACACACACATGAATCAGCATCGCAGGAGGCAGAACCCAAACACACTTTCTTTGGCATAAGAAAGCACACAGGATATGACCGTCATTCTGTCACTCAGTCAGTTAGCCAGTCGACGGCTCTCCTCCCACGGAGCTCAGCGTTCGGCCTTCAGCCTCCAGCCTGTCCATACCTCAATTGAAAAGCACTTTGGAAAAGGATAATAACGATAAATTTTTTATTGTAATGTGTCTTGCAGTGTTTACATGCCGGCTGCGCCTTATGGCAGGCAGCGAGGGTGGTTTTAAGCTTACACATGTTCTATAAGGATTGACAAAATATATGTTTTAGTTCTGGTTACCATTTTATATATTTGTTAAATCAACTTTTGGACACATGTTATAAAACTATTGGCATCTGTAAGCTATTAGACCTCCCTAAAAATTAAAGTAAATTTTTTTAGTAATTTTAAATGTCCAAACAATTTAAGAACTTTTGAATCCCCCCTTTCACACCCATAAGCACTGCCAAAATAGCGTGTTTTGCCATTATTTTCCAAGCAGGGCCTGATAGCTTGGCTGATGCTTTTCCTAGTCCTTCGTTGTCTTGCCCCCTACACCCCACTCTAGCTCCCTACCTACCCTTCGACCTTCCCTTTCTCCTACCAATTTCTTCCATCCTTCCACCTCTTAGAGGCTCCTTGTATGAGGACAATTTGCAGTCACTGCCGAAGTCGACGGCACTGTTTCATGCTGTTGCGCGCGCTTACGGGCAACACTTAATCGGCTTCCGGGGATATTTGGGATTTAGGGCGGAAACCTATTTGTGTCAAGACGCAGCCAGTGTTCTGCTCTGCTTATCCGCCGCTACCCACATCCTTGAGCACCCACCTTCCTCATTCCGTATTTCCCCAGCAGAATTTTTTTCCCCAACCACCCCATCATTTCAATGGGCTTTGTCGCCCGATTTTTCATTTTAGGCATTTCCCTTTGGCGGCATATTTAGTCTTTTGTTTTGCGACAATTTGGCTTGCTTTTTTACTTAGCCATACTTAAAATTTATAACAAAAGAGTCCCATCTTAAAATGAACTACTTAGTTCTCTTTTCTTCGGAGCGACTTAAGGCAAACATTACAACAATGAAGCCAATTCCGTCAACAGCCTGCGGGCTCGGCACATAAATATACTTTCCTTTCGCTGCTGGGATAGTACGTGCTAATGGCTAAAAAGCGAATGACACAACGCCGAGAGTCAGCCACAAGAAAAAGAATTGGCAGGCCTCTCATAAATATGAGTAAAATATTTTTTGTTGTTTTTGTGGGCCCTGGGTCTTGAGTCCTGCCACGCCCTGTATATAGCACTAATAACAGCCGCCAGCTGCTGCACAGGCCATTGAAAAATGCTGACTATCCGATGGCACATACTCGAAGGGATTCCCTGAAGTTGACTGCACATCCTTCGGCTGCCATATGGAAGCCTGTGTCTGCCAATTCCCTGCTAATGGCTCTTTTGTGAGCATTCCCACAACTTGGCACAATGAAATGCCAGCAGCAGAGCTGGTCGCTCATTTTCAGTTATTTCCTTTCAAATATTTATGATTTTCGAAATGCCAGAGTAAACGCTAAAGAATTCAAAGTATTTATATACTTCTACTCCGACAAGAGAAGAGTGTGTGAACATTATAATAAAAATTGTTTCGCAAAGAACAGAAAACATTGAATTTTGCATTGTATTTTTTATAATTTTTA